TTTGTTAATGATGATCACAAACGCAAGTCTTACCCAGAGTGGTAAGAAAAAAAAAAAATCTGTTTTCTGGCCACTAAAGTTACATTCAGAGTTTCATAGTGTAAACGTAGATCAACCTATTTTCCTACAGTGTCTTCTCTTAGCCTCTTTAGACTGCAGTTACTGCCTTCCTAGAAAGCAATCTCTTCCCATGGTACTGCTCCCCCACCTTCCACCCACTGCCACCAGTGGGCAGGATAGGTGAGAAGCCTGTGAGCAGAGCCATAAGAGCTGTCCCAGTCACAAAAAGAAAATCCAGCCAGTTGAAGACTGACCCGTGAGAGTAGGAAATAGCCTCATCAAGCGGAAGCAAGAGATCTGTTGCAAAGCCCCGTTTGTACTGTGGAGAGGGTTCTGAAAAGGTCTTGACGGGGCCAGGGCCCCTAGAGGACTGCCTAAAACCTAGTGCAGAGCCTGCAGGGGTGAGGTGGCCACAACAGGGGGTAGCAGTAGAGCTCATGGAGTAAAGTTTGCTTGTCATCTCCCCTGCTGCCTGCAGGTGCTGTAGAAGAGAGGTGGCACTGCAGGGAGGACAGGAGAGAGCCCATGAAGAGCCCGTGCATGCTGAAGCCCAGGGGCAAGAGGTGACTTTAGGTAGACTAGAGCCCTGTCACATGCTCTGTCTGACATAAAAGTCACCAAAATCATCATGTTACCACCATTCTGACAACTAAATCATGCACCATCTTGCAAAAAATATACTGCTTGGGCCAGCTGAAGGGATCTGCTCACCAGGGCCTCACCACTGGACGAATCCCAGAACTCCTCTGGCATCTTGTTGAATCCACGTGTGGGCAGGGGTAGAGGGGAAGAGCTCCCAGAAAGGGAGACAAGGGACAAAAACCCACATGGGTCCCTTTCTGGGCTCAAAGAAGCTGACCTGGATGGCTCTGCCACCCTGGCTGGTCACGGGCACTGGAATGGAAACTAGAAATTTTCTAGAAAGGAGCTTTCTAAACTGGACACACAAGGCATGCAGGTCAGGGCCAGGATGTCCTAACACTGCCAGCCTGGCTGGCCTAGGGGTGATGGAAGGGGACATAGACAATTTTGAGAAAGGCATTTCAAAGCTGGGTGGGGTTAGTGGGTTCTCTTGCCCAGATCTGAGGGTGGAGCTGAGGTTATCAGCACCTGCTATACTTTGGTGTAATTTTGACTTTCTCAGGGCAGTGCATGTTAGCTTCTTGAGGTTAAAAATTTCCCCAAGCGTGAGAGAAATTTTACTGTTTTTTAGAACAGACTAGAAAAGACCAAACCTATTAAGCAATTGAGTCACCTTAAATTTTTTCTAGACTAAGAGAAATTCATCTGTTTTCCTTGACATATAACCACCTCTATTTTTATGGAGTTCACTGAGGCTCTGGTGAGCGGCAAAAGTGAGGTAGGCTTTGGTAAGTTTGGGTGTACTGGAGGCAGCATATCCTTTTGTAATATTGATGAATGTAATGTGAAGGATTCCTGTTGTTTCTTCTGTTCTTCTCTGCTGGAGCACAATTTTGGGAGTGCCCAAAATTCTTACCAGGTAATTATCAGTTCTTATTCTCATTAGGTAATTATTCCTCCAGGATTCTGGCAAGGAGGCTGCTAGGACAACAGAAGCACACGGAAAGTTGTGATTTGACATTTTGTTTTCTTTTTGAGGATGGATTGCTCATTTGCAAAACATTATGGTGACCAGAATCACCTGAATTATTGCATCAGCCTTCCAAACGTTCTGTTGGCAGCTTCTTTTGTCCTCCTTCCCTTATTATGGGCCAGATAATTCCAAAATGAAAACCTATTCATTTCACTTCCACTTGCCATTTTAATGGTCTTGTATTGATCTTCTGTTCCCCTCTATGGCCTTCTCCACACTTCTCTTGCCTACTTACTGTTCGTTCCACATGGAACATTCTAGCACCTCCTTATGCCAATTAGCCTGGCTAAATTATCTTGTCTTCTGTGCCTTGACTTAAACTTGACTTTCTCTTTGAAGCTATCTCAACATTCCAGACTAATGTTTTCTGTTAAAACCACATTTTATTGGCATTTATTTTTTGTCTCCATTTCTCATTGAGATGCAAATTTTATGAGAGTAGGGATTGTGTCTGTCCTGCTCTCCACTGTAAATCCTTTGCCTCATACAACAATTGAACAGAAAATTGTGATGAATAAATAAATTATATAATGTTTACAACTTTATGAAGTAAGCATTATATTAGCTTACATATCATTTTACAGACGAGAAAACTAAGCCTCACCAAATAAAGCAGTCAGACTTTATGTGTCAAGGAATGGTTTAGCAGATGTCCAAGCTCTGCCTTCTTACTTCTTGGAAAGCTCAAAAAAAGTCCTTGTGTCTTGAAGCTTTAGTGTTTTTCATGGCAATTATCTTGATGGTCACTTCAAAAAATCTGGTGGGAGGGCCATGATGTATTTTGTAAAGCACGGTTAGGTTCATATGAAATCTTCAGAATTGTCTGTATATCTTTAGTCTGATGGCAGCTGTACCATCCCAGTTATCATCACCTTTAATATGTACCTCAGCCAAGTCATGAATGTTTCATTTGCTTGTTTGTTTGTTTTCAGCTGGCCAGGAATCGAACCTTGGACCTCAGAGCTACCAGCTCTACCCTCTAACCAACTGAGCTAACCAGTCAAGTGAAAATGTTTCATGATTTATCTGTAGGTTCTGACTCAGATATTCCTTTGTTTTTTTTTTATTTTTTATTTTTATATTGCCTTTATTTAATTTTAATATAAATACACAAACTGCTATTTTAACACAAGTCATTTGCTTAATTCCTAACTTCACATTCATCTTTTTTTCCAGCTTTATTGATGTATAATTGACAAATAAAAATTGTATATTTTCAAGATTAACAATGTGATGTTTGGATGTGTGTATACATTGTGAAAATGATTACCCCAACCAAGCTAATTAACACATGCATCACCTTTTTGTGTGTGTGGTGAGAATACTTAAGATCTACTCTCTTAGCAAGCTTCAAAAACACAGTCCATTATTATTAACTACTGACTGAGGAATTCTTAATACCCATGCCCAGATCAGGAAAAGCCTCCAGGCCTTTCCCCATTTGATGCAGAAATAACACCACACTCCTAACTCACTCCATCTACCATGACACTCCAGCGAAGAAAAACAAACCACCCAGCTTTGTTCTGGGCTCAACAGTTCACATGGCATGAACTTCATGGCAAAGCATCATTCCACCTCTGTTGGATGAATCCAATGTGCTGATCCCTTAATCAAACACTGTGTAGTATAAATAAGACTCTATGTGTTTTTCCAGTTTGCTATTGAGAACAAAGCTGACCAGACAGAGAAAACAGGAATCACATTGTTTCACTGTCTCCCATAAAAACACCTTGAGGTATAACAATGTCTTTTTTTCTCTCACAGTTTCAATTGGTATATATTATCTATGTTATCTACCTACATATCTATTCTTGAAGGATACAGATGCAAATGTTAACAGGGTCAGAAGTTTCATAGGAAAACCTTCTGTATCCTACCGATTCACTATCTCTGGGCTCCAGGACTGCTAAGACTATTGAAGAACACCGTGTTCTAGAGATTTCTAAACAGTGCACGTAGCATCTGAACACTGCATTTTACCACAAATAAGAGTAAGACTATTTGACCAGTGTCAGTCTCTTGTTCTTAAATGTCGGTCTCATGGAACAAAAAAGAATAAAAGCACAGTCTAATGGAAGGAGGAGTGTCCAGTTGCCCTCAGTGCTAAAACAATTCAGCAAACTAACACAAAAATGAAATGGAAATGGCCTCAAAGGAAGGATCAGGTCACAAGGACAGAAGAATATTGGGTTATGCCACTGGTCAGAATTCTTGATATGATATGAGAGGTGGTTGGTTTAACTACCCTATAAGTTTGAGATTTGCAATTAAAGGTCGAAATTGCCCACCTCACATCCATGTTGTACCCTTAGATGTTTCGTAGCATTTCCCTCGTCTTTGCTCATGGTGTTTCCTGACAAGGTTGCAGACCTGTAACTGAGGGCAATTCCAGCTAGCAGACATGAGCTGGTGGGTTCACAGAGTGGCTTTTGTTTTTAAATCCATATTTCTGTCTACATTCCTGCATGAGAATGGTCCCTAGGAGCTTGGTAGTTGCCCCCTTTCAAAGGGTCATGTGTTGAATACAATTGTTTCACTTTCTGTTTTTCTTATACCAGGTCCCTTCATTCATTTATATCACCTGTCTATCTCCTTTAGCACAGGAGTTTGCAACTCCTGCTCTACAGACTGACCTATCATCCATCTCTACCTGTCCAAATTCTAGCCACCCTCCATGGTCCACCGCAAATGTCAGCCACTCTTCCCTTTCCCCAACAGTCAGGTGTGAATCCTTCTTCTTTGGAATACTTACACATTCGTTACACTTCTTTTGTAGCATATACAATGTCCAGTAATGTTATTATTCTTATCTATATTGTACTTATCTAGTCCTGACTATAGTGTAAGGTTTATAAGCTTATGCATCCACCTACCCATTAATTCAGCAAAAATGTATAAGTACTAGGTGCCACACACTAGGTTACGTGCTGTGGATGCTGCAATGAATAAGAGAAACAGAGTCCAGGCCTTCAAGGAGATACTGAGTGCAAGATCTGTTGCTTTCCATTACAGAGCCTAGGAAAGCGTCTTGTACCTAACAAATACTCAACTGGAATTTGTGGAAGTGAATTTAGATGTATCCACTTACATTTACTAAGTGTCTTCTACTTGGCAAATCTATTAACCTAGTTTACATCATTCTATTAAATAAAAGCATTAATGCTATATTTCTTTTTTAAAAAAACCTCTAAAAATCAGAATACTCATTAATGTTTACTAACTAGTAAACATTTCTTCTCTCACTCCAGTTAACTCAGAATCACCAAGTTTTTATCCTAAAATAGTACTCAAAGTACTCAGATGTCCCTCTATATTTATTTACCTGGGTAACTGCTGAAAGAGAGGCGACTACTGCTGGTGTCTTTGTCTTTGATGTTGAAGTCCCAGTGTTTATATATCCTGAGCATGGCTGCGTACGTGTACCAGCTTGAGTGAGCAAAAAAGATGTTCTCAAATCCAGGAAGAACCTATAGCCAGAGTCATAGTGAATGATGCAGAGGTATTTAGATAATGGAGTGCAATTTTAACTGTAGGAATACAGGGATTGTATCAATTCGGTAAGTTTTTACTACCTTATTTATTACTGGAAAATATGGCCAAGGAGTCCAACATTAACCTTTAGTGTGCGCAGAATAGAATATGTCCTTCTAACATCCAAAATAAAAGATTCTGGAAGGTGGGAGAGGCAGGTGCACCCAGCATGAGAGGGATGTTGGAAGAAACAGAGGTAACATCATGTACTTCCAGTTCCCTGTCAAAGTTCTCTCCCTCCAATTTTTAACTTCTACATAGAGGAATCCTCAGGCTGATAATACATAGCTGTAGCCAGGGCTGATGGAATGTAACTATACTTGGGTGACATAGAGAAAAAGTCTGTGTGGACTAGAACAAGGAAAAAGAGAAGAGCTGATGCGAGTGCCTTACCTTAATAAGAGCAGAACAATGTCCCATCTCCCATCTCCTAAAAGCACTCAGGCTGATGTTTTTTGTGGGAGACAGTGAGGGAATCACATCCAACAGATCTCCAATGGCATTCAGGAACTGAATGTGGAACATGGTCATGGGCTGGGGAAGGACAAAGCTGCAGCTTAGCACTGATTGTGACATATGTCATTTTCTATTTTTTCTCTTGTTAGGGATCCATTCAATTATTCCCTTGGAAAGGGTCTCTAATGTAACAGATGTACTAGACTTTACTGTAGCTTATAAAATAATTTTTATGGCTTTATAGTTTAGAAGAGACGCTTCAGCATGTTTTGATATCCACAGATTTTGGGAGTGGCTCTGTACAGAATCAAACAAACAGAGCTTTCTGTCTGCATTCCTCTACAGCAGGGTTTCTCAGCCTTGGCACTATTGATATTTTGGGCTGGGTAATTCTTTGGGGGGTTGGGCATTGTAAGATGATTAGCAGCATTCCTGACCTCTACCTCCTAGATATCAGCAGCTATCTCCCAGTTTTGACAACCAAAAATGTCTCCAGACATTGCCAAATGTCATCTGGGGGGGAAATCACCCCTAGATGAGAACTACTGCTTTGCAGCAAAAACACTCAACTGAGATGATTTTGATTTTGATTGTGTGCTTAATATAAGGCTAACAGGACAGCATTAATCCTGAAACAATGATCAGATTACACTTGGATATGAACTTTGATCTAACTGGAGAGCACTGCTCCAGCAAGGTTCAATCCACTGGAGCAGTCTGGGGCTAGGCATGTACAAATTGGTTTTTAGGTAGAGGTGGTGGGAAGACAAACACAGAAGACATTTTAACCAAAAACAAAACAAAAGCAAAAGCAAAAAACCAAATCCAATTTTTATTTACGTAAACATTCTCTTTGTTTTGTTTTTTGAATATTATGCATTCATTATTCAAGATTTAAAAAATTATACTAAGGCCGATAGTGGAAAGTCTTCTCTCCTCCACTTGCTCAGGTCCCACCCTGTCTCCAGTTTACCATTTTTACTGGTTTCTCATGTATATCTCCAGAGTTTTTTAAATGTCTTATAAATACAATTTTTTTTTTTTTACACAAATGGTAGTGTATTATACGCACTGCTTTTCACCTCAATTTTTTTTTTTTTCTCTTTTCACCTCAGTTTATTTTTTCTCAATATATTTCACTTACTATCTTGGAGCTCTTTCTAAATTAGATGTAAAAATCTTCTTTATTCTATTTAGCAGTAATGAACGGATGCACTATAACAAGCATTTTGTTGATGAACTTTCAGGTGATTTCTAGTCTTATAAACAATGCTACAATAATTAATCTTGCACACTTCCTAGAAGTGATTTTGATTTTCATAAACATTGCCAAATTGTCCTCAGAGGAGCTGTTTCAATTATACCCTTCCAGCCTCAACAACATATTAAACATTTCCAATCTGAAGGTGAAAAACAGTATCCCATTGTAATTTATATTTGCATTTCTTTATTTATGAGTAATGCTGAGTATATCTTTAAAAACCATTGGGTTTGTTTTTTGTAAACTGTTTATATGCTTTATTTTTCTACTAGGTTATTCTTTTTTTCTATTAATTTTTTTTTTTTTTTTTTTTTTTTTTTTGTGGTGGCTGGCCGGTACAGGGATCCAAACCCTTGCTAACCGACCAGGCCTCTATTAACTTTCAGAAGCTTTTTAAATATTAGGGAGATTATGTTTGTTTCTCATATGAGTTGCAATTTTTTTAAGTTTGTAACTTGCCTTTATTTAAAAAATTAAGAATGATATATATAATGATCATATATATGAAAGAATAATGAGGTATACATGCAATTTAAGGAAAAATAATAAAAATAAACTATGTATGTACTCATCCCACAGTTTAGAAATAGAAGTGCCTTAGAAGCAGTGCCTTAGAAGTCTCCAACATCATCTCCCTCCTTTCCTACCAGCAGTGACCACTATGCTAAGTTTTGTCACTCATTACTGGCTTCTTTATTATTTTATTATCTATATTTGAATCCTTAAACAATATACTTTTAGAAATATGCCTGTTTTTGAATTTGTACAAATGCAGTCATATAGTGTGCAACCTTTCATGACACACTTTTCTCAGTATTATTTTTCTGACATTAGTGTTGTTCATTTTCATTGCTATATGGTATTCCATTGTGTGTCCATTTTTCTATTGGATATTTTCTGTTTCTATAATTTATTTGTTGATGTTCTGTATGTATTATAGACACAAATCCTTTGTTAGTTAAATATACTGGAAGTATCTTCTCTTGGTTTATAGCTTATCTTTTCACTTTCTATATATTGTCTTTTTATAAAAAGTAATTCTTCATTTAATTAGCTGAATTTATCAATCTCTCTCTTTACGGTTACTGCTTTTGTGTTTTAAGACATTGTTTCCTGCCCTAAGTCATATTCTCGTCAGGAATAATTAATTCTACTGAGTTCTTATTACTTCAAAGCAAGGAAATATGTAAATTTTAGGGAAGCTAAAAATAATGATTTCCTACTCATATTTCATGTTTAAAGACCGGAGTCTTAACCTTATTGGTTTTTCCTGTGCTAAGATTCCTGACATCTAACATAACTATTTGCTTTATTTTACAATATTTATCTATCCATCCAACTCTCTCTTTCTATCAAATTTCAAAATAGCAATACCGATATTATTATTAAAGTGAGATTACTACATATGGTTTAAGGGTTTTTTGTTTGTGTGGTGTTTCTTCTCCTCAGGATTTATCTCACTCAGGATACATGGCAGTAGCTATTTTAATGTCACTTGAAATAATTGCTCTCTGTGTGGTTAAGCCATCAACTTGTTACACAGTTTGATATATCTTGGTTAATTTGTTTTTGATTTTTAGGGATTGCTTTTCTTCTTTGTAATTAAGTCATATTTTATAATTACGAACAGCATTTACGTGGCTCAATAGTCAAACCTATACAGTCAGAGAAATGTATTTTTCATTCCTGTCCTCTCTCTTTCTGTCCTTCTTTTATAGGTAATTATTTATTTTTTAGTTTGAGGATTTCATTCTGTTGTTATTGTTGAAAAGATAAGCAAATCTGTCTACTATCTATATTTATCATCTACCAATCTTTATTTCCCTTTCTTTTTTTTTTGTTTTTTGTCTTTTTCCGTGTCCGGCAACGGATCGCAACCCTCAGTGTCGCCCCCGTACCGGACTGGGGACCGGCAACGGGATTGCAACCCTCGGGGTTGCTCCCGCGCCTCGCTCAGCCAGTGAGCGGGAACCGGTCTGTATGTGGGATCCGAACCCTCGGGCGGGAGCGCTGCCGCGCTTCCCAAGCGGCACACTATCCAGTGCGCCACCGGGCCGGCCCTTTATTTCCCTTTCTTATGTAAAAGGTAGTGTCCATTACACACTGTTCTTCACCTCACTTTTTTACACTTAAGAACAAATCCCAAAGGTCACTCCGTAACAGTATATGGAGATCTACCTCCTTTCTGTTTACAGCTACATCGTTTATGCAGCCAGTCCTTTATGTATTTGGCTATTTTCTGTCTTTTGCTGTTATCAATTATCTGCAATGAATAAACTTGTCCATATGCCATATTGTGTTCTTGCCAGTGCACATTAGTGATAATACTAGAAGTGGGATGGCTTGGGTCAAAGGGTAAATGAGAACATGATTTTGGTACAGAATGCCAAAATTCCTGTCCATAGTGGACATTTTGCATTCCCACCAGTGTTTGAAGGGAGTGCTTGTTTTCCCACAGTCTTGCCAACAGAGTATGCTTTCACACTTTGTGATTTTTGCCAAATTGGTCAGTATGGTTTTACGTACGTCTAATCTTATGAACAAGGCTGAGCTCATATGATTAAGAAGTGTGCATTACTTTTCTGTGAACTTTTTGTGTATTTTACCCAGTATATTTGTGTGTATGTGTGTGAATATATATATATATATCCCAGAAAACAAAGTATCCATAATTTTTGGAAGGATAGCAAATGGTACCTTGGAAGTCTCACTGATTCAGTAAAGCTTCCCACCAAAATTATGGTGTGTTTGGGTTTGCGTGTGTGTTTATGTGAATGTTGTAAAGTATGGGAAACACAGAACTTATACACTTAGATATTTTGTCTTAATGAGCATATAGTTTAAAACACTAGCTTTATCTGGTTAGTTAAAAAGCTTGATATGAATGTATTCATAGGAGCCTTTTAAACCTGCTCCTGGGCACAGTATCATAGAAGATTGAGGGCTGGTGGTTAGCTCAGTTGGTTAGAGCACAGCCTTATAACACCAAGGTCATGGGTTTGGATCCCCGTACTGGCCAGCTGACAAAAAAAAAAGCATTAAAATATTGAAAAAACATAGAAACAAGTTGTTTTCTTCATGTATTGAGCCTGAATTTTGTGCCAGAGTAAGTTAGGTGCTGCAATATGATAGATATGATGGTGCAAGGAATTTATACTCTAATCCTAATTTAATCTGCTTCTAAATTGGAATGTTATCTTAAAGGCAACTTTCAATATTCTTGTCCTACTGTATAAATTCTAAGCAGTTTCTTAAAAACCTTACCTTTGTCCCTTCTAATTTAGCCCTTTTCACTGCTCCTACGTATAGGCCATCCATTTGTGCCACCACATAGCCTGTATGTCTCCAAAATGGGTCATCCTTGTATTGTTTGATGTTTTTCCGGGTCCACTGATCTTGTTTCCTGGAAGAGAAATTAGGTTTGTCTAGACGTCTCAGTGGTTGCTCATCCAAAGCTAAATCAAACAAGGCATGTAGAGATTATATAGTCAGACACTTATGTTAGTGTAATCTAAATTCTAGATCCTGTAACATTCCAGTCACTCAAAGGATTTCAGGTCAAATCCTAAGTGATTTTTAGTTTCTCCCAAGAACTATAACTCTTCTTATATAGCTTCTTCTGTGCTGTCTGGAACCAAAACACACGTGTGATATTTACCTACCTGTGATACTGAGACCTAAGAAAATCAAGGACAGACCATCCAACTGCGTTTCTCATAAAATCATAATGTCTCATTAAGTCAATAAAGAGAAGTTGATTAACTTTGCTTTTAGGACGTAGAAGTGGTAAAGTTAAATTAACAGGAAAAGAAACTTCTAAAGAAAAGGTGGTTTATATGTGTTTATATTTCTCTCACAGACCATTTTCGTAGCTTATGGTTCATTTCATTCCAGTCGTTAATAACTGCCTCAACAACTCTATCTTAGTATGCTGAGCAATAAAGTCTTATGTTTTATAGTACTTTCACTCTGTCTGTCTTATTTCAGTTCTGGGGATGATTTGATAGAACTTTGTATACTGAAAGCTATTTCTGATTTGTTCTGGCTATCTCTAGATCATGGGATATAGTCCAATGGCTTTTTTTCTTTTTTAAAGATGACCAGTAAGGAGATCTTAACCCTTGACTTGGTGTTGTCAGCACCACGCTCACCCAAGTGAGCCAACCGGCCATCCCTATATAGGGATGGCAAACCTATGGCCTTGGTGTTATCAGCACCACATTCTCCCGAGTGAGCCATGGGCCGGCCCTAGTCCAATGGCTTTTAACTGATGCTCTTAGGACTTTCAGCATTTCATGAAGATATTGCTTAGTGTGTGATTTGGAGAGCCAAACCAGGAGCCTTCCTGTCCCCCAATCAATCTCTTGTCATCCTGCAAATTTAAACAAATTTAAAATTTTATTCTTCAAAAAACTTCATTAAAATGGAAATATTATCAGAGGGTATGAAGAATTTCGACTGCAGATATTAGCTAACACCCCATTTAGGGTCAGTCACCAGGCCCATGAAAAGGAAACATCTTATAGACTGAGGAGAAGGGATCCCTGCAAGAAGGAGAGGGGCCCCATGTGGAAGGGATCCAGGGACTTGGCCTGCTTTACACTGTGTCTTCCTCTAGTTGTATTAGCAATTGATAATGTGACATTCAACCTGAACTTTTTGTAAAAGCCAAAAACTAGAGGACAAACTGTCTGCAACCAGTTTTTATGCCATTACCAAAGAATGCTATACCCTACTGCAAGAACAACTATAGAGTTCTGCTAAAGAGATAGAAAAAGAAATTGGCAAAAGAAAAATTACTGTTTGAAATTACAAATTCAGGCTCTGCAGCCTTAATAACAATGAGAAGAGGAAAGCTGTTATACATACTCTATAAAATCCTGCACTTTATCCACAATGGAAGGTTTCTTGATCAGCTGTGGGTAGAGGTTTGTGAAGTGGTCATACATGTGTCTGAAATGATAGATGAAAACGGTTACATTTCTATTTTTCTTCTTGGATTTCTCCACCATAGCAAATTATCCAGTCTTTTGGCTAGCTAGCACGTCCCCTATTGCAAACTTTTCCTATTATTTTTTTCTAAATGAACAACTGAAAATTAAGAAACATTTTCAACATACAGAAAAGCACAAAATATATCAAGCACACAAGTATCCACCACCCAATTTATCAAATCATTATCTTTTGCCATATATATAAATATTTTAAAAGATGACTGGTAAGGGGATCTTAACCCTTGACTTGGTGTTGTCAGCACCACGCTCTCCCAAGTGAGCCATGGGCCGGACCTATCTTTTGCCATATATATAAATATTTTAAAAGATGACTGGTAAGGGGATCTTAACCCTTGACTTGGTGTTGTCAGCACCACGCTCTCCCAAGTGAGCGAACCGGCCATGCCTATATAGGGATCCGAACCCGTGGCCTTGGTGTTATCAGCACCCACTCTCCCAAGTGAGCCATGGGCCGGACCTATCTTTTGCCATATTTATCTCGCATATTTTAAAAAATAAAACAAAACATTATACAGAGTTGAAGCCTGAATTACCCTCCCTTTTCCCCAGAGGTAACTACAAACTTAAATCTGGTTTATTATTCCCATGCAATTTTTTATACATCACCACATATCTATTTAACCATAAATAATGTATAGTATTATTTATCATGTTTCAGAACAAAATATAAATAAGAACATATTGACCTACCACTCTAATTTATTTATTTCTATTAATATGATTTTTAAAAAAATATCTATATCATCTGCTCCTTAAATTTATTCTTTTCAATTGTTGATAGTATTCCATGGTATAACTATATAACAATTCATAAATGCATTCCCATAAGGGACATTTAACTGGTTTTTAATTTTTCACTACCATACTGCAACTTTAAACATTGTTGTATATGGCTCTTTTTACACATTTGCATGTTCTTCCAGAATACACAGAAACACACACACACACGTACACACACACAAAATTGCTGGGCTGAATATTCTATATATCTGTAAAGTTACTAGATATTCCCAAGTTGTTCTCCATAGTGATTATACCAATTTACATTCCTACCCACTACATGTTAGACTTCTTCCTCCAAACCCTCATCAACACTTGGTGTTGTCATATTTTTCAATTTTCAACAATTTGATGACTTTTAAATAATTTCTCGATTTAATTTTCATTCCCTGAAGGATTATTGGGTATTTGGGATTCTTTATTTTAAAACATTAAAAGTGTCTCATGTGCCATGCAGTAAATATTTTTAATTGAAGAAAATAACCCATTTAAGTTTATTGCGATTTTAATATTCTTGGATTTATTTCTATAATCTTTTCTGTTTTCCATTTACCATCCCTTTCTTTGTACCCTCTTTATGATTTTATTTCTCAGATAACCCTTCTTTTATCTTTTGTTTTTACTTCTGCTAATTTAAAAACTATAGAATGCATTTCTACTCTTTTAATGATCATTTAAAAAAACATTTGTAACTCTGTGTTTCTTCTAAAGTCTAAATGAATTTTATATTCCTCTCTTCCTCCAAACATGAAGCATATTTCAGCAAGTTTTAACTACCCATTGACATTCCCCACCACGTAATCATTCAAAGATTTAGCTAATGAAAAAATTTTTATTTAAAGAATTTTTTAAGTTTTACCATCAAATTTTATTAATTTCTTTGTTTCTTGTATTAACTATTTCTCCTTTATCCTAAACATTCCTTCTTGTTATTCTTGCTAAAGTATATCCTTTAATACTATAATACAAGTCTGTGGGTGGTAAATTGTTTTAATTATATATCTGAACATATCCTTCTTTTGCCCTTTCTCTTGGAAAACTTAAATAATTATAAAATTCTAGTTAGATATTTTCCATTAGTACTTTTAAGATATCATCCTGATATCTTCTGACTCTGTTGTTGGTGATCAGAAGTATGCTGTCTAGATTCCTTTGCAGTCAATTTCTTTCTTTTCTTTCTTTCTTTTTTTTTTTCCTTTTTGTCTTTTTTCGTGACCGGTAACAGAATCGCAACCCTCGGTGTCGCGCCCGCACCGCGCTCAACCAGTGAGCGGACCGGTCTCTATATGGGATCCGAACCCTCGGCGGGAGCGCCACCGCGCTCCCAAGCACCGCACTCTAACGAGTGCAATTTCTTTCTTTTCTGATAGCTTTTAAGATTATTCTCACTATCCTCAATTTTCTGAAGTTTCATCCACTGCATTGTAGTAACTTAATAGGCTGTTTCCAACTAAGGACATGTCTTTTTTTCAATTTTGATAAATTCTTAGCTATTGCTCTGTTAATTGCTGCTTACTTGCAATTCCCTGCAGTCTCTTTTTCTGGGACTCCTAATAGACCTATGGAGAAGTTTCTCGATCTAACTTCCATGTCTAGTAACAGCTCTTTCATTCTTTTTACCCCTTTATCTCTTGGGACTGTGTATTTTCTAAATCCTTCAATGCTAATATCTGAATCATATTTTTTTCTGATTATGTCCAGCCTAGGGTTTGCTCATTTATTAATTAAGATTTTAAAAGTTTAGTTTCCACAATTTTCTTTTATAATATTTCTAAAAGGTTCTGTTTAAATATCTACCTGTCTTTTTCCTTCCCTTTTGCTTTATAAATACTCCTTCAAGGTTTCTTTCATTTATAACTTAAGGCACCCTAAGCAAATTTAAAGTTTCTGTTAAACCATTCTATAAAGTTAATCTGGAGTGTGTTTACGATATTATTGCTGATTTTGTTGACTGTCTTTCTTGGCATTCAATTTGTTTGTATATTTTGGAACTTTGGTGTGCAGGCATTTTTACTTATTCTCTCTCTCTCCTCCTTCTATTCTCCTATCCCCCAATTTTCCTTAAGTGCCTCCATCTGAGTCCTGGGAACCAGGTCATATAGTGCCTTTTGGGGACTTTTGTCCTATTAAGCATACATAAGGGATCTTGCAGGTAACTGAACCAACCTGTGAATGATATGGTTCCTGTTTTCCCTCCTTTCCAATCCCCCAAGCTCACTGTTTCTTATAGATCTGTAGGCTAGAATGCATATCAACAGACCTTATTCTGTGGCCTCCTATTCTATAAACAGTTGAAAACAGCAAGGTTAGATCCACTTCCCAGCCTTGATTCAGCTCATTTAGAGCACTATGGCCCTCTCCCATCAACAGGTGGCTGCCTCTGCCTACTGCAGAGCTTTTCCTTCAAATTATTTGTATGTATGTGTGTGTATATATATATATATATATATATATTTACATATATATATATAAATATATATATATTTACATATATATAAATATATATATATTTACATATATATAAATATATATATATATTTACATATATATATATTTACATATATATAAATATATATAAGAGTACTTCAAAAAGTTTATGGAAAAATTGAATTGAAAGATAATACAAATCTTTCATGTAACCTCCCATACCTATTTTAAATTGAATCATAGCATTTAACTTTTGCTTACATTATCAACTTGGTCATGTTTCCCTTTGCACTACCTCTAAAAATGAAGGAGAGAGCAGCAATAAAGCCAGACAGGTATGTGAATGACAAGTAAGGGACCCTCTGCCCTGGCTTCACACTTCAGGTGAGTGAAGGACAGAAACCCCAGGTGAGTTTGATGATTTGAGTTAGTTGCTCAGGGAGGCAACAACCCTACAGTTTCCCACTGCAACATTTTATGGGGAAATAGAGGTGGCTGCCTATGCTGTCTGGATTCATGAGACAAATGTAACACCCCACACACCTCAATTAATTTTGGGGAGCAGTCAAATGTTTCCCGTGTGGCCTAGACTAGAAGAAGTAAACATTGAGAGCCCATGGACTTCCTGGAGGCAGGGGACTGTGATGAATATTGCAGGTTCAGGTGGCATTGATTATGCAGCTGGAGACCAGGGAGACCATGCAAGTCTCATCAGACGTCTGATGGGAAACACGCAAGCCAAAGACTAAATGAGATTGTTCCACTTTAGTGGGCACCAGAGGAGGAGGACACAAGACAACTGTGTCCGTTGATTAACATCTCCCCTCCCTCTGAGATGCCTCAGTAACACCCATTTTGGGATAAAGTGGTTGCAGGAGGAGAGTGAAACATTCTGAATTGACTCGGTTTATATGATACATTATTTTGTTAATGTAGAATGGCTATTCTTACATCGTCTGCTATCAGGAAGAATGGGCTTTTAAAATTAGAATGAGTTATATGAAAATACATTTTATTTCTTGGAAATAAAAAAGTGTGCAATTGACTTACAATATCCACTCAGGCAAGGAAACAAAAAATTCATACATTTTACACAAAGTCTTCATCACTGCACCCCTGCCTAGATCCATCCAGACTTCCAGATCCCCCATATTTTTCAGTCTATTTCAAAATAGAGGAGTGATTCTAGACTGGACTGAGTTTGCTTTCCAGGGGGCATTTCTGGAGACATTTTTGGTTGTCACACTGAGGTGGGGAGTGTCTGGCGACTGTCATGCTGGGGGAGGGAGGAGTACACTGGTGTCTACTGGGTAGAGAACAAGGATGCTGCTAGACATCCTACACTGTACAGGAGAGCCCCCCACAACAAAAGATAATCCAACCCAAAATGTCAATAGTGCTAAGGTGGAGAAATCATGAAACTGGATTGTTCATCCCGACTTGGGGGTGGTTGCTGAGCATGTCTACATAAGGGTAGACAAGACAGATGAAAATATAGGAGGGTAACTGAGCTAGAATTATTAAAAATTTTCTTTTTTGTTTGTGGAGACTATATTTTTTTATTCTGACGTTCAGAGCAGAGGAAAAGAAACCTTCGCCTTGGGGGATTTTGAGAATTGGAGCCCTCACCGGAGCCTGCTGCATTCAGGGGCTCTGAGCAACACAATCCACTTGCATCTCCCCGGGTTGATGCTCTCCTCTGACCCCGGGCCTGGGACCTTACACTTCTGT